GGGTGTAGGGGTTAGGGGTTTGGGGTTTAGGGTTTAGGGTTTAGGGTTTGGGGTTTAGGGTTTAGGGTTTAGGGTTTGGGGTTTAGCGAACAGGATCTAAGGTTTCCTGTGCTATGAAGGGTGGGCCCAAGAGGATGCTGAAGTGTCTGACAGCTACGCAGAAGAAATACAACTAGACCCGAAATCCTATACATCCCTAGATTAACCCCTACCTGGACCCCAGAGGTAGGTAAAAACAATGGCCCCAATTCCCTAAAGAATAGCCCAAAGGCCATTATTCTACATACTTTTGGGGGTTCAAGTATGAACAACCCCAAACGCAACGATCAGCTCGCTAGCTACCGACCTAGTCTTAAGCTGCTGCTTCCTTCCTGGGTTGCGATTGTACCCCAATGTGGGTTCGCTTTCTAGGGGTTATAACGGGATTATTTCATGGGGTTACGCAGGAGTTAATTATTTAGGCTTTGGGGTCAAGCTACGATAAAATAGGTATATACAGCAAATAAGATGGCTTCCATATCATGGCAAGTAAATGTCAGTTCCTTAGCAATCTATACACGGAGCCAGTAAGTCCACAAGGAAAATGGGGGGAAATTGCTTTCCATAACGGCCAACTGCGGAATAAGCACTCTGATCAACCCCAATATAGACCCCGAAATACTATAATCCTTATTACGGGGACCCCCGGTAAGGTACCCCTAGTTTGGGAAACCCCATATATACCTACGCAATATACACCGGGTGAGGCAGCCGAATAAACTTGACCTTAGGGATACACCCAATCCGCAAGACCCCACAACCTAAACCGCAAACCACAATCCCTCAGCACTGGTAACTCTAAACTCTAGACCCCTAGACCCCTAAACCCCTAAACCCTATATACCCCAAGCCCTAAACCTACACCCTTCCCCGCCTGTCTTTCAGCAACTGCAGTCACAGGCTGAAATTCCAGGACCAGCTGGTTCCAGGCCTTCAGTTGCGAGCTTACCCCTCTCTCGCGGGAACTTCCAGAGTAAATAGAATATGGGGTATATGGGGATCTTATTATAATACACCCAAAGCCATATTCTACTACTTACGGGGGACTATAGAAGAGGTTTTGGGCCCTGTAGATATCAGTTGCTTTTTGGCTTTCTAGCACTTATAACGACTCAATAAGGATTAAGGGTAATGAAAGTGCGACAGGATTCTTCAGACCTACTCCTGTGGAAGGTTCTTACAAGAGTAGGCACGTAATGAGCCATGTTCCCCAGGGTTTAGGGTTTAGGGTTAAAAGTGAGATGAACCCCCTGGATGGCCCCTACAAAGGCTACTGCAGCTACTTGCTGTTTCAACAAACTGCATGGGGTTCCAAATTTGCTTTGAAGGTGTAGGAGTAATTAAGGATGCTACATGAGCTGTGGATCTTCACGGGTCAGATCAGCTACCTTGACACTTTATGTTATTCCATGCGAAGCCCTTCATGCAAGATGGCACGTTACCAAACCCTGAGGTCTAGATAACTCCTAAACCCTAAACCCTAAACCCTAAATAAGTGGGAAGGCCCCGGCCGAAGTGTAGGAGGTGCTGAAGCTCCAGCGTGTCAGCTTCATCTCCTTAGATACAGCAACTCCTCATCTCAAGCAAGACTACCCTGAGGTTGGCGGTGTAGGGTTCAGGGTTTAGGGGTTCAAGGGTGTAAGATTCAGGGCTTGGGTTTTAAAGTATCGGGTCTAGGATTTGGGAAGTATCGGGCGTAGGCGGCTTTTCAGAGTTTAATCCTTTGGTTGAGAGGTGGCTTTCTAGTGCCCAAATAGGTCCAAGGTTACCCACGACACAAGTGAAGTATACAGTGGCGATGCGACTGATGCTTGGAAAGCCTTGGATCGCTCAGGAGATGCAAAAGTAGAGTTGTAGATGGAGATGGCCTAAACCCTAAACCCTAAACCCCAAACCCAACCTCATGCCAAGTTCAAAATCTACGCGCCAAGTCCTGCACTAGGGTTTAGGGTTGCAAACTGCGCAAAGTCGTATGTCAATACTCAATAACCGCAGCCCTGGATGACATCTGGCCCGTCTCTTTGCAAATGGGTCTTTCAAAACATTGGGGGCCCACATTTGCATAACCCAAAAACACAAGGTAGGCAAACGGAAAAGAATCCCTTTCTTGAAGCCCTAAACTCTGAACCCCAATAGCTGAAAAACATCATGTATCCCGAAAAACTTAGAACGCCCCGTAAGAAGACACCCTTAAAAAAACTTTCCTCAACCCTGAACCGTGTGCAGGCTATGTGTCACTTGCCAAGGCATAGGTGCGCAGCTCAGGCGATCTTGCAGCCACTCGTTCCTGAGCTGATTAACAGATGGATTTCCTGGATCAGGGTTTGGGGGTTAGGTTTTAGGGTTTAGGTCAGTGAACAAAGGATTATATAGGGTTCAATTATTGTGGGGCGTATATTGGGATTGTGTAGGGGTGTGGCGGGATATTAGCGCATAATGGAGAACCAGCTGGACAAGAAAACAAAAAATGCGATGCAAACTGGGATTAGGCACTAGGAGGGCGTTTGTAACCTCAACGGGTGAAATCCCCTGATGCTGATCGGTGGATAGAGCAAGAAACAGTATGGAGTCCTATAGGATCCCTACTGTATATCCAGGTAACCTAAATTGTCTGGGTTGCTGTTAAGGAACTTAAATGAAGTTGCCATGATAAGGAAAACCTATCATGTATTCTATATATACATATGTTCCAATTTTGGTAACTTAGTTTAAGTTCCTTAACAGCAGCCCAGTTGCTTTAGGGTTTAGGGTCTGGGATCTCTAGACGGCCGTTGGTGATGAAAGGTCCATACAGCATGAGAATGCCAGAGAGTATAGGTGACAATCCGCCTAGGCCTCCGTGCCACCATGCTCATCTTGGACAAGTGAAGAAAGGGAATGTCTTATAGAAGTTCTGGCCTGTCACCATCTAGCTGTTACCCTTTGTAAGAACTAAATCTTGATCAGAAGCCAGGTTCCCCAACTTAGGTCGTTCAGCAACTCGGATTCCAAGAAAGCAGGGGGGGATGTATTAATGCATGCATATATTGCTTGTATGCATAGATTTATCATCTTTGCGCCCAGGGAAGGACTGCTGAGTTCAAGTCCTGCGTGCATCCAGGCATCCGCGTCTCCGATTCCATCCACAACCTACGCTGATGGTTTTCAAGACTTTCTGGCTGAAGGTCCGAAGGAGCTTCTCAAATTCAACTACCCTTATTCTAACCCACTATCAGGGGCTCGCCAACCGAGTATGGTGGTCGCTAGCAAGAATTCTGCGAGGTGGCGTCTACGGACATACTCTCACCAAGGATTTTACATGAGCAAATTAACTTTCAATTAGGGTTTAGGGTTCTCTTGATCCTGAAAATAGAGCCCGAATACCCGCGTATAGGACCTACATAACCAAAAATCTTGAAGAGTAGTTGGGTATCCTGGTAGTCCCTGGCCCCTAAACCAGAGACCCTAAAATCTAAACCCTTATGGGGTTAAGGGTGTAAGTGCTATATCCTAGCCATCAATCCTCCCTGCTCCTGTGAACCTTAGTCCATTCCGCAGATAATTAACGTTTTACACAGGGTTGTATAGGGGTAAGTAAAGTTCTACAGGAGCATATAGGCGTATATTGGGACGATTCAGGAGTTCAATAATGCTGTGAAAGAGCATATCTTGGGGTTCGACGAAATTACACATAAGGATTGGATGGGACGTTCGTGCCCAGAATTCTAATAGCCTAAGCACACTTCATCTTAGATGCTCCCTGGAGTAGCCCAAATCCTTGGGCTATCTTTGGCTGACAAATTTAATCTTCCCAGACCCCTGGGAGGATCTAGAAAGTAGAACCCCCAATTTGGTACCCTATACTACTATTGGGTAATTCCTACGAACCTTTAAGGGGGTTCCACTTTCTAGATCCGCCCGGGGGTCTGGGTTGTCAACGCGCAAACTGAGGCTCCTTCAGGATAATGTTAGCGAGTGGTACTTCTTGTTCTCCATCGCGCACAAGGTCGGGTGTCCCGAAGCTTCCAAGTCCCAAGCCACAAACGTCCAGAACTAATGAGCTCTGAGATCCCAAATACTACTCTCTTGATGGCTTTTTGTTCCTAAACCCCGCCCTAACATTTGAGTACTTGATACCTTGTGGCTGGAGTCTCCCTAGGAATGATTTTTAATTCCGATTATAATAGATAACCCTGAGGAATGATCAAAATTGACATTTTATTATAGGTCTAAGGAGACTACAGATGGAAGGGTGTAGGGTTTTCCGCGGCTTCTGAGGGTGTAGTGGTTTATGGCATGTTTAGGGCTTACCCCCTCCCAAAACAGCATGGGCACCTGAAGATATAAGCTGGACTATATAGGGTTTAGGATTTAGGGTTTAGGATTTAGGGCTTAGGGATAAGGGTTTAGGGTCTAAACTCCTTAAAGGGGGTTATACAAAGGATTATATAGGGGACTACAATGGGTGTTATCAAGGAGGATGCTAGGAGTTTAGGGCTCATATAGGCAGGGGCTTCTTTTGGCCTTGCGTTAGTTTGAACAATTATCAATATTGTGGTTCCAGAATCCTTGCATAATCAAGTATGGCATAGGGTACCGCGCATAGGCCTGAATTATGCTAGCAATTGTTCCGGCCCATGCGCGAAGAGTCTTAGGTTGACGTCTGCGCAATTTTCTCCCTCCTGCTCCTAACGGTTATTTGAGCTATAGTCTAAACTGATAGTATCCCCCTTAATGAGCCTTTTAATATTCCCCTATATAATGTCCTATACAGTCCCCTTTAATGAGGCTCATTTAGTGATGACTAAGGTCAATGAAGGCCATAGTCCCCCTGGAGTGGATAGACTATGAAATTGCCGCCCAGTATCAGAAAAATCAGCGCTGCAAGTCCAAGCACCGTGTTTCGGCTCCCTAAACCCGAAACCCTACACCGTGGAAGCCCTACATACCAGGTACACAAGGGACCCAAAGTTCAGGGCCTGAAAGTCTCATGGCATACTACTTGGAGGATCTTTTGACTTAGCAAGTCTGATGAGCAACTGGGTTCTAGGGCTCATAATTAGATTTGTTAGGGAGAATTAGTAAGTAGACTTACTAAATCCAACGACCGTCCAAGTAAGATCATACACTCCCGTCTTATGTTGAAGATGTCCTCCAACATGAAACGTTACTTTGGGAAAAGTTTAATGTTGGGGTGGGAAAATTGATTACTGATACGAACGCCTTTGCTGTAGACGCTGGAATTCAAGTCGCCGGTTCAATCTTGCCGTTGGTGTAGGGTTTAGGGTTTCACCTTGTATTTATCATCTGAGCCATGGCAAGCCAACAGCGTCCCAACCGTAAGGAGCCCAGGAACGGGCCCAAACCCTGAGGGTCCAAGCATCTAGATACTAGATCATGTAGGCCTAAAGTACCTATACAACAGCACAGCCCATTTGGGCCTGAATTATGTATGATTTCCATGCAGCACAGCCCAGTTGTACACGAGATAAAAACGATTTCCTGCAGGTCCTGACTTATTGTCTTCGCAGTCTACATTTTGTTTGTTTGCCCTTTGTAAATCAAAGGTACACGGAAGTAGATGTTTAGCGGGGTTGTTGAGGACAGCCAAAATTTAGGCACTTGGACCTATTTAGAAAACAATGCAAGTAATTGCCTGTCTACATTGGAAGCCCAGCCCCAGGATATTGGAAACCACTTGCGCAGGTGACCATTGGGTTTGCCGTGATCGGTGTCATTAACGGTGTGTTCATGCAGGAATGTGGGATCTGAGAAACAGGATATTTTCCCATAATTCGCCGTCCCCATTTCAGGGGCTGAGATATGGAGCCCGTGTGTCTGGGATAAGCGGTTTGCACCTCCAATGTTTTGCTTTGGGGTTGTGAGTTCTGATTCTAGGTGTTCAGCGGCTTGCTTGGGATCTCGGATGTGCTTGTATGCTGAGAAAAGACG